TATATATATATATATATATTTGAGGTATATATTATGTGGATTCATGCGGATCTATCGTCTGAGTCTTTTCAGAGCGCAAGTCTTTTCAGAGCGCAAGTGGTGCGCTCTCTGGCGAGGGCGCCCTGCGTGCGCTGGAGTATCGCGTGAGCATCTGCCAGCTGGAGAGCCGCGGCCGCAGAGCGGCGCGGCGGCGGGTGCATGTCTGTCAGTCCGGTGCTGCACTTTTACCGAAAAAGGAGGAGTATTTCCTTGCTGTTGGATTGTACAGATCGTCTTACATGAGGGGGGGGCGTGCACGAGGCCCGGAGTCGACGTCGCCCTGGGAGGACGCGGCCAGCGCCTCAGCAGAGGCGGCGTGGCCCTGGAAGCCTGGAAGGCTCTGCAAGGGGTCTTCAGAAGCTCTGAGTCAAGAAGCGGCGTGAGGTCGTGGGAGGAATTTTGCACGTTCAAGAACCTCCGGAAAAGGCCTTCGAGACGCGGGCCAGCCATGAGCCGCCCCATGCCTGCGCCTGTATAGGTCCGGTTCCCACTCCGTGGGCTCCGCCCGGACCAATGGTGAGACAGCCAGTGTTCCGCTGGTGCCGACGCCTCTCCGAAGAGTGCTCAGGTACCAAGTCCGTGTCGATGCACGGTATCCCTGTGTTGGCAAGCGGGCTTTCTCTGACAGCAAGGACCGGGACAAAAAAAGCAGGGATTGAAGAGCTGGGGCTCTAAGGCTCGCCATGCAGCTCAGGCGGTCTCGGCGGCCTTTCGGACACCTTTGCCACTGCGGCCACCGCTCCAGCCGCTGCCCCTCCGCCTGGATCTCGACGAGGCGCCACCAACAAAAAACACGAACGGGAAGACCTGCGACTCCCACTCAGTCAGCGCCCAGGAGCAGCCGGAGGAGGAGGAGGCCGGGGCCGGGGCCTTCGCCGCCTTCTCTGCAGACCAAGCTTTCTTTTTCTATGTGTTTTCATGCGGGCGAAGCAGCGGCGCCTCGAGGAGCCAGGAACCGCCTTCCTTTGGGCTGCGAGGCCCTGGGTCTCCGTTTGCGTCGGAACCTCAGACATGCAGATACCCACCTATATATATATATACACACATATATATATATATACATATATATATATATGTATATATATATATGTATATATATATATATGTATATATATATTTGTTTTATAATGTGTTGATTTCTGTATGTCTATTTATATATCCTATATATTATATACGATATGCGTGGGTCCCACCCTGCCGCGGCCGCTCTCTTTTGCTTCCCTGAGAATTTCAGTCAGGTGGAGCACTTTGCGTCCGAGACCTACAAGTTTCAGTTCAAGGCCGCGCATGGAACAGACGCACGCGCACACCGGGCACGCGAAGTCGAGCCACCGGGACGGTGACTCGCGGGCTTTTCCTGCAGGAGGCAGTTCTCAAGGGCCGCTCCGACTTCGACGGCCGCTGGGCTCGGCCAGACCGAAAGACGCCACGAATTTGCCTCCTCTCCTCAAGCCGGCCTCTCTCTTCGAAGGGCGGCCTCTGCGAGATCAGGCTGGCAGGAGCCGCTGGTCGTGGAGGCAGCGCAGCCGTGGCCTCGTGTGACGCGTTGCTTGCGCAGCTTTGAGGCCTAGCTGCCTAGCTGTTTGGAGAGAGAGAGAGAGAGAGAGAGAGAGAGAGCGCTCTTTCTTTGTACTCTAGGCCGTCGCACGCAGAGGCCAAGCGCCCAGTGGCTTAGAGAGCGGCTTCGTGCCTTCTGTATAAGGGCTCTAGCTGGGAGCGGTCCGAGGCTGCCGGCCAGGCCGGCCACGCCATTTTGCGCATCGGCCTTCCGAAAGGCGCCCTGCCCTGCATGCTGCCGCCGCAGAAAGGGGGGAGGGCCCCAGGGGGGAAAGGCCGCTCCTTTCAGGTGCTCCGGAGCTCGTGGCCTTGCGGCTGGCGGACACCGCTTCCTCCTCGCCCTTGCCATGGACTGAGACCTCAGACGTCCTCTGAAAAGCTTTGGGGTCGTTTTACAGAACTTCGCCTTCGAATGCACTTTGCTGTGCAAATTGGCCCTTTCTGAAGCTGCGGGTTCGCGTGCCTTCCTGAGCTCTAGACGTGCGTGCTCAAAGTCGTATGGTGCATGGCGTCTCCTGGTGCATGGTTTCCATCGGATTTCTGCTGTCGCGAACTTAACGTCTGCGTGGCAACCCTATCTATAATTATTGAGGGATGGGCCAGTCGCGCGCTTTTGTTTGGCAGTGCTTTGTGCATGCAGGGTTCGATTTTCTTCACGGAGCGCTAAAAGAAGGGCAGCGCATGGCACATTCCCATCCTCTTGCTGGAGTGGGCGCGAGACGAGACGCGGACGAGGCCCTCAAATTCGTCATGATCATCACCCTTCGCCCATATCTGTGAGGTCCGTTGCCGGTGATTTGCGCCTGCACAAGAGCTCTCAAAGCTAGACCGTGCTGCCTTGCGACATGATGCAAGCCGACTCTTCTCGTCGCAGGACGCAGCCCGCAGCAATGCAGAAGCGAGTAGGGCGGCGCGCATACGACTTGCTGGGAGCCTGCCGCTCCCAACAGTTATGTCGGGAGACTGCCAAAATTGCTCGTGAGACTTCTCTCTGATGTTTCGATGGTTCTCTCCGTTTGAGGGACCGGCAGCCCATGCAGAGAGTGGCCTTGCCCGGCCTTACTGATCTGACAAGCAATGCGAGCAGGTGCATTGCGATGAGACAGCGCCGTGCACCGTATCTGTGATCAACGCCCATGCCCAGATGAGCACCAGAGGAGGAGGAGGAGGAGGAGGAGGAGATGGACTTTTTACCACGGGGTGGTTGTGGAGCCTGAGCCCCCCCCCTCCAGCCCGTGCTTTAGTGGAGCCCGGCTTTAAGAGCCAAAGCGGTTGAAGGCTCATTCATTTGCTCATTCACGCATCGAAAAGGCATTGCTTATTTCAAGCAGCTACATCGATATCAGGTCTCGTAGAGTATGGCCGTCTATAATACATACTTCGACGTGCAGTCACACATGTTTTTGGAGTTCCTCCACGTTCCACGTGCCGAAGAAAAACCAACACTGTTCGCCTGCGAAGCCTCTGCAACTTTCAGCATAGTTGCTTTGTGCACCTTAAGGTGTTTCTGCAAGTGTCGTGGGGCCCCAAATTGGCGGCAGGCAGTGTTGCAAAATAGAACGCGGTGGAAGGGGCGCATGGGGCCAGGGAATTCGCCAAAACAGAAAAGAAGACGAAGCTTCTGCACAATGCACAATTATCTCCAACTCAATATGTTGAGTTCCTGGTCTGGAGTCCATCTGCAGTGGTGTGAGGCGTTGGAGCGTGACGAGTCCTCCAATCGTCACGCGCGTGGCACCCCCACTCCTGGCCTGCTGCTTCCCGGGTGGAGCGCCGGTGGCTGAGAGCCGCTGCAAGTGTGGCTGCGCTCCTTTGAAGTCTATACAGATGATAGAGCACGTCTATGATTCATGTCGTTTCTTTCGTGCCGCTCCGCGCGTGCCGCTTCGCGCGTAAGGATGCAGCTGCTGCCCACGGTGGGTGGCGGCTTGCAGCTCCACCTGCGCTTCTTCCTGCAGCCCGGCATGGCGGCCCCGACGGAGGCGCTGCCCCTCCCAGGCCCAGCACTTCCAGGCGCCGCGGCGCCGCGGGGCCGGGGCCAAAAGGGGCGCCAAAAGGGGGCGTTCAGTCGACTTCGCCGTCGTCGGTCGCATCCGGTCGCATCCGGTCATCACACGGGCCAGGAACGACGGCTGCAGGAGCCTCTGCCTCTGCCTCTGCTCTGAGCTGTCTCTCTCTTTTCGTGAGCCTCGGCTTCTGCATTTTTCCAGTGGTCTGCAGGTCAGGCGAAGTCTCCCGGGCCACCGCTACGTGTCGCAGTGCCAGCTGCGGCTCCGGGTGAAGGGCAGCAAGGATTGGATTGGAGACGTTAAGTTGGGACTTCCTCGGGCGTACAAGTAGCTGCCGACTCTCAGTCAGTCATACACAGTATTTACAGTATATGCACGTGATCTGAGCTCAAACACTCCGAGCCGAAGGCGCCTGCCTCGAAGGGTCAGAAGAGCAACGGAGGCCCAGCGACAGACGAAGCCGACGAAGCCGCGACAACCGCGACACATCGCATCGAGCCCTGGCCCTGGGCTGAGGATTTCTGGAGCTCCCGGCACGTGCTCTGCCGCAAGCGCAGACGTGCCTTTCGACACCGGGCCTCCAGGAGCCTTGGCTGCACACTGGCTGTGATGGCGCTGTGGCACACTGCCGCGCACGTTTTTCGGAGTTTCGCTCTCTCGAATCCTTACCCAAACGTGAAACAAAAAGCAATTGCCAAAGCAACAAGTCTGCCTACAAACTTAATGGGGGACTCTCGTCCAGTTCTGCCGATCTGCACTGCACCCTCCGGCAGCCATTGCGTCCTTCGTTTTTTCCCGGGTTTTCCAAGATGCGGCCCCTCGGCCATCTTTAAGGCAAGATGGCATCGTATAGTGTGTTGAAGTGTTGTTCGATCCTTTACGAGATGATCCTAGGCCTTGGCGACGGATGGCGAGGTCCCCGACAGCCCCGAGGAGGCAGTGGGGATCGCCCACTCGCTCTCTTCAGTTCTCTCTCTCTGTCTCCCTCTTTTAATTGGATCCCTCTTTTAATTGGAAGGGAGGATTCAGAGCTCTCTCTCTCTCTCTCTCCCTCTCACTCTCACTCTCAGTTCTTGGAGGAGTTGATCGCTGGTCTGCTGGGCTGGAGGGGTGTGCGCTACGAATTCCAGGCCCGGTCAAGACGAGATTTAAAAAGCGCTTCTCAGCCCCTGCTCCTCCTTCCGCGCGGCGGATCCGGCGGCTCAAATTGAGGCGGACCTGGCGGAGGCCTCGCTGCGGGAGCTGGTGACGGGCCCCGAGCTCCTCGAGGCGCCCTGGCATCCTCCAGAAGAAAAAAGTCACGAGCAACATAACAAAGACACACACACACACACACGCTTGCTATACATCATATGTGTATATATATATATATATATACATTTAAGGGCTGACGCCGCTGCCGCCGACCCCGCAAAGGGGGGCGGCAGCGTCGCCGGGGTGTCGCTCCGGTGCCGACTGTGGTGTCGCAAGCATCGGGCTTAAAGCTTTTTGGTACGTCTGATGCTGGCGTCTGTTGTCAGACGTAGGCCGGATTCCGCAACATGCTGTCACTTACACGGTTGCAGAGGTATCGCTAGCATGCAGCGCAGAAGGGCACATGCTGGGGCAAACTGTGTCCCAAGCGCAGAGCTTTTTCTGGAACTTTGTCGTTTTTGGTTGGGGACAAAGTGCAGGAAGGGGGGGAGCGGGGCGGATGGGAGCGGGGGGGGGCGGGGGCGGAAACTGGGTGGAGTGGGAGGGACAAAAAAA